CCGTCTCATCTTCTAGACTGGTTGTTGATGCAGACACAGACTGAACCGTGGACCAAACACAGGCGACGATGACGTGGACTGAATGGACCAATGAGACGATGGAAGGACGTTTAAAAAAAGAGCTCAAGCTCCGCCCCCACCCCGTGTAGAATTTTAGAATTGTCCTCAGTGTTTGAAGAAGCTTCTCCTGCGTCTGTTGTCTTGACCTCCTCTCCGTCGTGGTGCTTTTCTTTGCTCCCCCCTTTGTCGGGCATGTGTATATACAGTATTCCCATGGTATAATTTATTCTGCTGTATGAAGTATTAGAGTAGTGGGATTGGTGTACGTGTATTTCCTGCCTTCAGCCTGTGGATGTGTTGACTGTGACACTGGCGTAACTGTTACCAATTAAAGATTTAAAATTTCTGCATCTTCTCTCTCTGTCTGTCGATTTGTTGTGCGTCTGTGTCGAGGTGCAGTACTGATACTGCAAACTGGAGTACTCTCAGGTACACACAACCAAGTATAACACAAATACTCTCCAAATAACAATAAGGTAAAACGTTTTTGTGGTTGGTTGATGTGGTTGGTTGATCTGGTTGGTTGATCTGGTTGGTTGATGTGGTTGGTTGATCTGGTTGGGTGATGTGGTTGGTTGATGTGGTTGGTTGATCTGGTTGGGTGATGTGGTTGGTTGATGTGGTTGGTTGATGTGGTTGGTTGATCTGGTTGGGTGATGTGGTTGGTTGATGTGGTTGGTTGATGTCTGGTTGGTTGATGTGGTTGGTTGATCTGGTTGGTTGATCTGGTTGGTTGATCTGGTTGGTTGATGTGGTTGGTTGATCTGGTTGGTTGATGTGGTTGGTTGATCTGGTTGGTTGATGTGGTTGGTTGATCTGGTTGGTTGATGTGGTTTGTTGATGTGGTTGGTTGACCACTGACTGAATCACAGGTGAAGTTTGTTGTTGTCCTCAGGTGAGTGGATGTGATGAAGCTCTCTCTCCCCCTCCTTCTTCTTCCTCTTCTTCTTCTTCTTTTTCTTCTTCTTCTTCTTTTTCTTCTTCTTCTTCCTCTTCTCCTCCTCCTCCTCTCTCCCACTCTCTCAGACACTGTTCTCTCCGTCTGATCACCATCTTCTCCCAGTGCTTTTAAAATAATGTTTAGT